CTGTAGTGGGGCCAAAAATGAGGGGTTCAGCATGTGAGAGGCTTGCTGGGTTGAAGTCATGAGCAGACAGTGCAGCTAAGGCTGGGGAAGGCAGACCCCCAGCTCTACCTATAACCCTGCCCCCTCTGCTGAAGCTCCATCCACACCACAGGAAGGAGCAGCGCTCCAATTGCACAAACCCCCTCTCCCCCCAGAGAAGGGGAAGAGCATGTGCACCAAGCCTCCCAGCTCCAGGGATCAGTGGGAGGAAGGCAGCCACAGCCCAAGCATCCCCAGCCCTGATAGCAGCAGAAGGGAGGCAGTCCTGGCCCAAGCCTGGCCAGCCCCAGTAGCAGCAGGAAGGAGGTGGCCGCCATGACCCGAGCCTTCCTGGTTGCAGTAGGAGGGAAACAGCCCAAGTCTCCCCACTGCCATGTGTGCTGCTGAGGAGGTTCCCACTACTCTGCCTTCCTAGCTGCCCTGGAACCTGCCTGAGCCACACTAAACATTCCAGCAACCCCATGTGGTAGCTGGATGCAGGAAGGGAAGGGGCAGGGCAACCACAGCTCAGCTTTGGGTAGGCACAGCCTTGTTTTGCCTTAAAGACCAGATGCCCATGGTTGCAAGGTCTGCGTGGTAGGTTTAGTGCAGGAGCAGGATGGAGGTGGTGGTGCAGGGTGTGGGTAGGAAGTAAGGTGCATCATCAGGTAAGGTGTGGGTTCTGGGCAGGAAGAGGGCAGAAGTGTGGGGGTCTGGGTGGGAAGGGGGTGCAGGAGTAGGGTGGGTGGTCTGGGCAGCAGGGGGCAGAAGATGGAGGGAACCTACCTGAAGCAGCTCCCAGGGGGCACCGGTGCCTCCATACAGCTCTGCATACTTCAGTGAGGAACTCCCTACAGGAACTTCTCACCTGCCGTTCGCACTGGCCATGATTCCTGGGGGCAGTGCCTGCAGGGAATGCTTCTCTATTGAGTCATGCAAAACCATTTTCTCCCTGCTGCCAGGCAGAGCCTTGTAGCATGGGTCTAGCCCCTGCTTGCTGTGATTGGGCCTGCAATCCCCCTGCAGGTGATCCAGCCTGTGAGCTGTAGATTCCCCATCCCTGACTGAAAATAAAAGGCTCCAAAGGAGCCTATTTAGCTCTAACTTTTAACAGTTGGAAGGAACATGTTAAACCACACCAGGGACGTTAGGGAGGGTCCACATCTCCTAGCTAGGACACCTGTCTCCAACTCCTGACTCCTATTGCACTGCTAATTCCTCCAGCCTGATGCCACATGCTCTGACAGTTCCCTATCAAGATCACAATGTGGCAATACAATATGTTATTGAAAATATTAAGTTTACAAATTATAGAATACTAGGACTGGAAGGGACCTCAAGAGATCGAGTCCAGTCCCCTACCCCCATGGCAGGACCAAATACTGTCTAGATCATCCCTGATAGACATTTATCTAACTTACTCTTAAATATCTCCAGAGATGGGGATTCCACAACCTCCCTGGGCAATTTATTCCAGTGCTTGACTACCCTGACAGTTAAGAACTTTTTCCTAATGTCCAACCTAAACCTCCCTTGCTGCAGTTTAAGTCCATTGCTTCTTGTTCTATCCTCAGAGGCCAAGATGAACAAGTTTTCTCCCTCCTCCTTATGACAC